GAGTGACATCAGGGCATTGTGAAATTTCATACCACCAGAAATTTTTTTTTGAAAAAATGCATAAAGCTTCCTGTAGGAGGGGTGGAAGTGTGAAGATAACATATAATGGATTGGAAATCAGATTACCTTGTACTTCTTAATAGAGACATAGGATGCTACAAGTGAAAGGGACAATGCCTTAAAATGTTCAAATAATTCTATATCCAGCCAAAGTATCAACCAAATGAGTGGTTAAAATAATAACATTATCAGACAGAAAAATACATAAAAATTTACCTCTCATATATTCTTTCTCAGAAAAACACTGATGGAAATGTTCTACCAAAACAAGAGAATAAACATGCAAATAAAAAGGACAAAAGAATGAAGAAAAATGTGATTTGTTGGTTATATATCCCAATAAGTAGAGGCATGAAAAAAATTATTATGTGGTCGGGGATCCAAAAACAGCAGAGCAAGGATGGCTCTTTTCTCCTTCATGATATCTTGGGTCTCAGTTGGGATAATCCAAATGACCAGCAGTAACTCAAATGGCTGGAGGCTGAAATAGCTGGAGCCAGAGAATCTATTTCTGTAATGGGTTCTTTATCCACATATATGACACCTGGGTCACCATGGCTGAAGAGGCTGTCTACTGGAACTGTCTACTGTCTACTGGAACTGTCTGCTGTTTACTGAAACTGTCTACTGGGACTGTCTACTGGAACATTGTGGGACTGTCTACTGGACTGTCTACTGGAACTCTACTGGAACATTGGCATATGTTATACATGTGTTCTTCCAACATGGTGATCTCAGGGTAATTGGACTTCTTACATGGTAGCTTAGGTCTCTCAGAGCAAATGTTCCCAATTAACAAGACAGAGCTTCAGAGATTTTTATTACCTAGCCTCAGAATTTACATAACATCACTTCTGTCTCCTCTATTGTTTAAAGCTGTCACAAGCCCACCTGATTCAAGAGGACAGGACACAGATACCATTATTGATGGAAAAATTGTCACAGAATTTGCAACCTAATATGGTTTGGCTCTGTGTCCCCGCCCAAATTTCATGTCAAATTGCAATCTTCAATGTTGGAGGAGGGGCCTGGTGGGAGGTGATTAGATCATGGGGGCAGACTTCCTCCTTGCTGCTCTCGTGATAGTGAGTTCTCACAAGATCTGGTTGCTTAAAAGTGTGTAGCACTTTCCCCTTCACTCTCTCCCTTCTTCTCCGTACACATGAATCCTTCACCTGCTGCCATGTTTGTAAGTTTCCTGAGGCCTCCCCAGCCATGCTTCCTGTACAGCCTGTGGAACTGTGAGTCAATTAAACCTCTTTTCTTCATAAATTACCCAGTCTCAGGTAGTTCCTTATAGCAATGCGAGAACAGATTAATACACAACTATGTTTTAAAACCACTGCATATGGGATCAGTGATTCAGGGGATCTGACAAAAAAGTGTAAGAGAAAGAAATCCTAGGGAGATAGTCATGTCTATGCTAAACTTTAGAAGAATTAACTTAAATTTTCAATATTGTTATGACTAAACTACAAAATCGAATTGCTCTCTTCCCAAAAGCCTTACACAATGGTACCGGAGTCCAGTTGCCTAACACGTAACGCCAAAGTGTTTATTTAATCTCAAACATCTCCTTCGCTTTCCTATTGATATAATTTGAAATCCTTGTTGGGTGAATAATAGATTTTCAAGTCAGAATGGAGAAGCAAATATTTCCTAAACTAACTCTCATTATTCTGTGTGGAAGTATGCTTTAACAATTCATATAAAAACCATGGAAACTAGTGGATTTTCCCTACGCTCTCATTCCAGGTTGCCGAGAGGGCAGGATAGGTGGAGACCAGAATGTAAACTCTGGAAATTCTCCACAGTCAACTAAAAGTTTGGGTAAAGAAAGGAGAAATATAAGAGCATTTCAGAGGGCAGACTTCCTCTGAGAACAGGAAGCGGAAGGGTTCACAAGTTCAATGCAGAAGGATGTTCAGAACAGGCTCCACTGGAAACATTATCACCTTCATCAGGGATGTATTCTTCATAATGAAAAGCAGCTGTCTGCCCTTGCAAAGTTCAGGGAAGTTTCTGCCCCAGTGGAAGCCAGAATGTACCATGATACACAGAGACGGTCAAAACTACTTTTTGCCTTTAAACTACAAGGACACCTTTTTTTTTCCTGTGAGTTTCCAGTGGGATAAGGAAGTCTGCTCACCCAAGGCTAGCTGTTGATTTCTTCACACTAAGGCCTCACTGATGCCAGTACCCATTGTTCTGTTGTGTCACTTCTCTTAAGTAAAAGCCAAGCTGTCTGTAATTAGAAAGGCGATGATGTCATGGAGGAAAGGGCCAAGCAGCAGACTTTGCACAAAGCCCCAGGCTGCAGCTGCAACCTACACTGTAATTTTAAATTTAAGTCCAAATTACAAGCTAGCATAACCCAGCAACAAAGGGGCTTTCTCCTACTAGGGACACAGTAGCCAGCAGGCAAGCCTCAGGATGTTAAAATTCTACCTTCCCTCAGGGAGAGAAATTTTATTTAAATCTGGGAGAGTGGATGTTTTCAAGCAGTTGCATAAACTTGCCAGGCAAAGCCAGGGAAGGCTTTTGCGTGGCTTGGGTGAGCGAATGGAAAGCAGCTCATTCTGAACAAAAATTGGTAAAAGTACACTGACTTCTAGCATCTAGTTTGGCTTCCTACCTAGCGTCATTGAGAGTTAAAACTCAAAGGGCCTGGGAGCAGTGGCTCACGCCTGTAATCCCAGCACTTTGTGAGGCGAGACAGGCAGATCACCTGACGTCAGGAGTTTGAGACCAGCCTGGCCAACGTGGCAAAACCCTGTCTCTACTAAAAATACAAAACATTAGCCAGGCATGGTGGCTCACACCTGTAACCCCAGCTACTCCGGCTACTCCGGCTGAGGCAGGAGAATCACTTGAACCTGGGAGGCAGGGGTTGCATTGAGCCGAGATTGCACCACTGCACTCGAGCCTGGGTGACAGAGCGAGACTCTGTCTCAATAAAATAAAATAAAATAAAATAAATCCCAAAGGAAATCCTAAGATTTAATAGACATGCCCTTTTACTTTCTGACATATGTGCTGTTTGGGGATGGAGAATTTTAAAACTATAGCCTATGTGCCCTTAATCCCCAGCCCTCTGGCCATTCCACCTCTTCAGTGGAGAATTACTCCCAGAGACACACCTCCCAAGCTCCTCATCTGCCAGCCTGTGCCCACCATCCCCAAACTCCCTCCTCTCACCCTATTTCTAAACTTCTCAGGAAAATGGCCCACCATTAACCCAGGTGTCCCTCTAGAGACCTTGAAGTAATGTTACTTTCCTCTTCCCCTTTTCAATGGATTCACCAAATTCTTCCAGAATTATTGCTTGAATGAGCCCCCTTCTCTCCACATTCTTCCTTAGGTCGTATCTTCCGTTCCTTGCATTACTATAATGGCCACATTTCTGGTCAACCAGTCCCCAGGCTGCTTGAGACTCTGGGTTCTTTTCCACATGACACTGATTTCATGATTTGTCATCTAAATCATACACTCAAAAAGTCTAAATTGAGGCTAATGTGTAAAGCAGGCCACATGATAATTGGCACAGAGCCCACCCTCAATAAATGTTACTATATGGATTATGGATATTTTTCTCCTTGACGCTCACAACCCAATGAGAGAGACAGTACAATAGCACATGGTATTGTTTTTCCCATTTAATGAATTTTTAAACAAATTCATAAATATACGCTGAGCATCTTCAATGTGTCAGGTCCAGTGGTAGGGGTGGCATATAGAGAAGAAGCGACAGATACAAGGCCTGCACGGCCTTGTCTAGTGGATAAAGCAGACATTTGCACGTAGTTAAGCAATTGAGAGCAGCGTGTGATAGGAGAAAGACAGGGCGCTGCAGACTAGTGGGACACACAGGACATTTGCCTTTCAAATCAAACTCCCTTGCATTGTTATAAGAAAAACACAATAGAGACAAAGTAGCTTAGAGGCCTGGCTGCGAAATCTGAATCCCGGTTTTGTTTCCTGCCCTCAATACTTGCTAGCTCTGGGTGCCGGGAAGTCACTTAACCTACCTGTTCCACAGTTTCCTCATCTGTAACAACAACAAAAATACTGATGGTGAGGATGAAGTGAAATAATAAGTGGGAAACATCTTGCAAGAAGTAAGCATTTGATAAATGTCAGATGATATTATTGTTTATATTGTCATTATAACATTAAGAGCTCTTCTCACAGATAGAGCAAAGGCTGTAGTTAGAATACTCTCTACAAGGAATATATGTGGCTCATTAGGCCTCCAGGAACCTGGTACATAAATCTTAAAATCTTACTACTAAATACGGCTAGGAAACACTTTCAGTTGTACATGAATAATATCAGATTTCTGTGATTCATTAATTGAATATTTATTTTCTCTCTACAATGTGCCATTCACTGTGCCAAGTCTTACTCAATGTTAATTTCCCTGTAATAACAGCACAGTTCCTAGCACATATCAGAGATAAAAAGACATGTTTAAAAATTTTAAATAGCTGATGTTTCGCTCTCTGAAACCAAACAAAATTAAACACAAATGTCATAAACTCTAGAGAAGTTTAAAAAAATACAGTTCATACTTCTCAGAGATTCCTACAATCCCACCTAAATGTTTCCAAGGCCCTAAAAGGAATTTTCCAGAACATGCTGGGTAACACAGTTTTCCCAGCGTAAGTAGCCTTCTTAGATCTGGATTTTAAAATAAACTAGATCCCAATATCACTAAAACCTTTATTTTCCTGTTTTCACAATCTTTGGATTCAAAGCTTATTTTTATTTCATGACATTTGTAGTAGCTGAGATATATATCACAAACAGTATTTTAGCCTTAAGAGTACTAAAAGGAATTTTGTTAAGTAATTCGTAGATAAAACGATGAACTAAGTTATCTTGCTAGCTAAATGATTAACACATCAAAACAGCTAGTTTCCCAGAGCTAAAAGAAACGGTTTGGATTTGTGTTGGTAGCTGTTTGCAATTCAAATTAGTTTGTCAAGTGGTTTCAGATTCTTCAATCAGGGTCCTGAAGTTAACCTGGGGACACTGAGTGAAGGCTGTAATTGCAAAGATGTTTTCACATGGGTGAATTGGAAGCACTATCGATGAAAAGCAAACGACGGAATAGGGCCCTGGATTGCTGTGGCTGAATGGAAGGGAAAATGAAACAGTGAGTCGGTTGTCATTTTCTCGCAAGCAAGGCAAAGTCACTGAAGGGATCAGAGAAAGGTTTAAATGTGGAACGATCAGTCTTAGATGTGATCTGGACTTCAATTGAGTGGAATTTCTTGAATCCTTGATGTGGATGAGGAATGCGGAGGGGCCCAAGCGAAAGCAGATTTACTGGAAAGGAGAACTGGAAATTTCAAGGGGTTTGTTTTTGTCATTGTCAACCCTTTTAGCAAATAACATTGATGATTAGGGTGGGTGTTATTCTTGTTGTTGTTTAAGAAAGTACGAGAATTTGTAAAATGCAGAGAAGCAAAAGTTAGAAAACTAAAATTGCTTGCCACCAGAGATCAACTACAGCATTTAGGCCTTTTTCTTCCTTACCTTCTTTCCTTTCTTCCTTCCCTCCCTCCTTCCTCCCCTCTTTCCTTCCTTCTTTCCCATCCATTTATCCATCATCTACCTAGCTCTTTTTATATAGCTATTTCTTTATTATTATATAGTTATATATCTTTGTCATTTGTTATATAAAGTTTGCATTGTCACTGCTTTTAAAATGTTTTGACCTGTAATCTTTAACTTGCATCCTTTAACCCAGGGGGTTTTCTGGCTTTGTTAGGCAGGGTGGCTCATGGGAATTCATGGCCTCTTATTCTGTTAAAAAATTCCTTGCAATCAAGAATATGATGTTTTTTCTTGGTTTAAAACAAACAGAAAATCACACAGAAGTAGAGTTTGCACTAAATATATATTTTTAAATTTCTGCCTGCAAAATTACGTTCCACTGCCTCCTCTTGGCTCAGTTTCCCCCTTATATCTCTCCAGATGTAGCCTCTGGAGCTTCCTTGAGTCTCTGAGAGATTATTTCATAGGACAGGATCAGAAATGACTTGTCAAGATCCCTGCAGAAGCATCTAGAAGGATGGATAATTTATAATTAGAACAATAAGTAATGGTGGTTAACATCTTGCAAGGTGTTATATATTTAATTTTTTTTTTTTTAACAAAGTCTCTTTTTACATTCATGAACTCAACCAGGAGTGGTAGAAAGATAGTTTGGATCATGAGTCAAGGTGCCTTCAGTTCTAGTCCTAGTTTTTTCTCAACTATTACCTTCTATAAGCACTTAAATTCTCTGTGCCTCCATTTTCCTATACATAGAAGGAAGTGGGAGGGTTTGATGGTTAGCAGACCAGATGCTCGCTGAGATCATTTCCAGGTCAGCAACCGCATTGTATTATGAAAGTTTTGGTGGCCCCATATTGGATGGGCATTGAGGCATTATTTCCATTAACTACCAGTAAACAGTAGATTTGCCATGGGTGCACACTTAGATGAAACCTGAGGGTATACTAATTTGGTGAGGTTGGGGGTGGGGGACAGGGGAATCCAAGGTCTGATTTCCCCCAAGCAAAGTCTGCTAATGTTTTTCCTCTATGCTTCTTCTAGTTTTTTGGATAAGCTAAGTGAGTATGGGTGTGTGCATATAGATATGCAGGATAATTTATCACACACATACTTCATGGGGGAACTGGCACCAGTTGGTACTTCCTGAGCAGCTCCAGTCAGTGCTTTCAGAGAAGAAAATAACTTGTGCAGATGCCTTTACGTGTATTATTCCACTTAATTCTCACAGCACCCCATCAGGGTAGATACCCCGTTTTGTAGATGTACAAACTAGGGTTCAGAGTGATTTAGTAACTTGTTCAAAATGTGAACACGAATCTATAGGACTCTAGGGCCAAAGTACATTTCAAAGGACTCCACTTTGACTCACTCTACTGAGGCAGAGGGAAAATAAGAAAACAAGGGGAGGAGGAGCAGGTGAAGAAGTGGATTAAAGGAGTTTCCTCTGCATGGTGCTGTCGCAGAACTACTCTTACAGATAGTGCAGCACAGGTGTGGGTCAACAAGTTCCTTTCCTATGCTCCTTTGCCATGTTCTTTTGCCTTTCTTTTGGGATTATCAGGTTTCCCAGGGCTCCCAGGCTTTCCTATCACTCCCACAAGCACCCCATCCTGATGAGCCATTACCAATATTTCATGTTCTAGAATCATCTTGTCTTCTGTCTCCTGCAATAGAAACTTCCTTTTCTCTATACGATTGTTTCAGCTAAGTGGAAAGCAATCTGATTGAGTGGATCTATATTAGAATGTGAATGCCTAAAATGTTCTCATTATTAAGAAGGATGTTGATATATGAAAATCTGACAAACGCCATTATAAACAGAAATTGAGTGAAGAAAACAAAACTTCAGGCTTTTGGGAGAAGGTGAGATATTTGGGGACTGAGAAATGTCAGGAGCCAGTCAGTAGGAAGTGGAGTGGATGTTCCAGCTACAATTCCATGGCATTAGGGGGATCTGAAAAGGAAGCTCAAAGGTCCCTAATAAGAAAGGAGCTCCTGTGTAGGAGAGCATCTGCGTATTAAAAATAAGGCTGATCCCAAGCTGAAACAAAAAACAAGCAAATTGTGATATTGTGGTATCTATTTGGTCTTTGACCCTGTTTCCTGGCATACAAATCCTAAATTCCTTAGAAATTCTAAAACGTTGTCTTTTTGTACCCTAATGAGTTGACTGATAGCAGGCAGCCCCTAGGCAGCTTCAGGATGGGGGTTTGTCACCCAGAAAGACTAACTTTTAGCACCACTCCCAATCTCCAGGGAAGGGAGAGGAGATGTTGAGTGTATCACCAATGGCCAATGGTTTGATCAATCATGCCTAAGTAATAAAGCTTCTAGAAAAACCCAAAAAAGACAGGATTCAGAGAGCTTCCAGATAGCTGACCATGTAGAGGTTCCTGGAGGGTGGTGCCCAGGGAGGATATCAAAGCTCTGCACCCCTTCCCTCATACCGTGCCCTAGACATCTCTTCATCTGTATCCTTTGTAATGTCTTTTATAATACATGAGTAAACGTAAGTGTTTTTCTGAGTTCTGTGAGCAACTCCAGCAAATTAATTGAACCCAAGAAAGGGGGATTGTGGGCAACCTGATTATAGTCAGTCGGTCAGAAGCACAGGAAAAATAACCTGCAGCTTTTAATTGGTATCGTAAGTGGGGGTGGGGGCAGTCTTGCGGACTGAGTCCTCAACCTGTGGGATCTGACACTCTCTGGGTAGAGAGTGTCAGAACTGAATTAGAGGACATGCAGCTGGTATCTGCTCCTTGATGTGTACAGAAACGCCTCCCCACCCCCACCCCCCCGCACCCACTCCCCCACAGATATTTGATCACAGAAGTTTTCTGCATTGTTGTTGAGTGAGGAAAAGTAAAAGTGCTTGGAGTGTGTGTGTGTGTGTGTGTGTGTGTGTGTGTGTGTTTTCGTTTTCCCCACGTTCAGACAAACGAAAGGTGGAGCAGTGGTGAGAGAGAGCAGGCAGTCCACTGAATTTGGGCCCACAAAGGCCCCCTGCAAGAGCTGCTGGTGTTTGCTCCCAAATTGCAGAGTACATGAAGACAATGTGTTTCCTGCTTTCCAGGGCATAGGTTAGTACTCATGGCCCTGGGCCTGGGCATTCAGCCACATCTGTTGGCCCTGCCTCGTACTCAGGGGTGGGAGGGGAAAGCAACTTCTGGGAATGGCTTCCTGTTCCCTACTCCTGGAGCTAAGTCCAAGAAAAGAAAAAGAAACTAATTTCACCTTTTCCTCTAAACGTCATTGTTATTGACACAGCCAGTCTGCAGTGATCAATTAAGCAAATCTGAAGACTCAAATGCTTTTATGCTTCTCATTTAAAAGTTGCTTAGAATTTATTCCTTAATTCCAGATAAGTTACCAAAAGAGAACATTTAAGTAACTTATCCAAAATCACTGGACAACGGTGTGGGTCCAACCCCTACATACGTAGCACATACAACTGGCCTGATCGGAGGGACCGTCCAAGAATCATCCTCCTCCATATTCTCACACAACTCTCTGCCCCTTTCCAAGTGCCTACACTTTCCAGAATTGAGAGTCATTCCTCAGTGTCTTGAGAGTCCCCTTATTCAAGTCCAAATCCTAGGGCAGGAATTGCACTTGATCTTTTATCAACAGTTTACCTAGTGGAACATTCTGCCTCATACCTCTTTCTGATACAAATGTCTGGAAGCCGGGCCTTCCGGGGATAAGGCAGGAATGGGATGCTTCACCCTATTGTGGGAGAAAAGAAGACTGGAGGTAGGAATTTGCCAAAAACAAACCTTGTTAGGGGCCTGTGCTGCTTCCAGCTGGATAGCTATCCCACGTTGCAGCTTTATTAATTAATCTTCCCCTTGGGAGTGTGTTTTAAGTACCAAGCAATAAAATAGTCTGGGAATTGACATGTTTAACTAAATTGAGGTTTATTTCAACTTATTTACTATCTTCACTGATTCTTTTACCTCTCTCTGGTCCCCAAACATAAGCAGCCCCAAGGACTGGCCCTGGCTCCTTTTTTCTATACACTGTTAATTTGGATCACTCTCACTCTTTCAGGTTTAAGAATCACAATTGGGAGGCCGTACCTCCAAAGTTTGTCTCTAATCCAGGGGCCAACAAACTCTCTCTGGAAAAGACCAGAGAGTAAATTTGTCAGGCTTTGCAGGCCATGCAGTCTATTGCAACCACTCAACTCTCCTATTGCAGCATGAAATCAGCCAAAGACCATACGTCAATGAATGGACATGGCTGTGTTCCAATAAACTTTATGAACACTAAAATTCCAATTTCATGTAATTTTCACTTGTCACAATATATTATTCTTTGGATTTTTTTCCCCAACCACTTGACAATGTGAAAACTATTCTCTAGCTCATGGACCTTAGTAAAGCAGGCAGTCAACCTCTGTTCTGACCGATACTGTTCTCCAAGTTCCAGGCCTCCTGCTGTCAAAAACACTCTCAGTCTTGAAGTTTCTAATATGAAAATTGCTCTGTCTTTTATCCACCCCACGAAACAGCTGTTCTTCTTGACTTCTTTGTCTTAGGACACCAGAATTCTCCCAGAGTCCCAGCTGGAACTCCAAGGGTTTCCTTGGTTTCCATTTGTCATCCCTTGTGCAAAACCAGTACCCCAATGCAATGCATCCAGCATCTGTCTCTCTCTCTCCTGTCCTCAAAGTTCTGCATATCCAAATTAATTTTCCTAAAGCAAGATTTTTATTAAAGAACACCCTTCAAGGTCTCTACTGTTTCCTGCATACAGTAACCCAGCCTGCAGCACCCTGCATTTATATATATGCAGTTTTGCCTCTGAGGGAGTTTTCTAGTTTCATTCTCCACTATTTTCCGACACACATTTTCTGTGCAAACCAAAATGACTTGCCTTCAACAGGTGAAATTAACATGCTGGGAGCAGGCAGGGAGTTCCTACCTCTATGCCTTTGTTCTTGATATTTTCCTCCATTAAATCCTTTTCCTGCACCCCTGGACCTATCAAAAAGTTCATGACCAACCATACTGAGATACCACTTTACTTATACTAGGGTGACTATCATAAAAAGACTGACAATAACAAGTGTTGACAAAAATGTGGAAAATTGGAACCCTCCTATGCTGTTAGTTGAAATGTAAAATAATACAACTGCTTTGGAAAAACAATCTGGCAGTTCCTCAAAATGTTAAACATAGAGTTACCATGTGACTCAACAATTCCACTCCTAGATACACACTAGCAAAATGAAAACATATGTCCACACAAAAACCTGTACACAAATATTAATAGCATTATTCACAATAGCCAAAAAGTAAAAACATCCCAAATGTCTGACAACTGATGAATGGATAAACAAAACGTGGTCTATTTATACAATGAGATAATATTAGGGCAAAAAACAGCTGGGCTCGGTGGCTCACACCTGTAATCCCAGCACTTTGGGAGGCCGAGCTGGGTTGATCACGAGGTCAGGAGATCAACACCATCCTGGCTAACACGGTGAAACCCCATCTCTACTAAAAATACAAAAAATTAGCTGTGCGTGGTGGCATGCACCTGTAATCCTAGCTACTCAGGAGGCTGAGGCAGGAGAATTGCTTGAACCCGGGAGGCGGAGGTTGCAGTGAGCCAAATTCATGCCGCTGCACTCTAGCCTGGGCAACAGAGTGAGACTCCATCTCAAAGAAAAAATAAAGAAAAATGGAATGAAGGTTTGATACATCCTATAATATGGATGGACCTTGAAAACATTATGCTAAGGAAAAGATGTCAGACACAAATCCCCACATGTCATATGATCCTATTACTATGAAATGCCCAGAACAGGAAAATCTATAGAACTTGAAAGTAGATTTGTGATGGGCTGGGGTGGGAGTGAAGGGTCAAGAGAAAATGGGAGTGACTGCTAATGAGTAGAAGGTTTCTTTTAAGGTTGATGAACTATTTGAAAATTGATAGTGGTGATGGTTGCACAACCCTCTGAATACACTAAAAATTATTGAATTGCAACTTTAAGTGAATTGTATGGCATATGAATTAAAGCTCAATATATATTTTTAAAAGGCTTGTGGCCAAATCATTGTAATTTGACCTTTAAAAATATTATCTTTATTTTATAACTACATTATCTGTTTTACTCACTTGACATTATATTTTACTCTGTAATATTTTTCTGCCTATATTTTAATTTTCCAACTACATTGTAAACTCATACTTTTTGTTGTTGTTTTTGTTTTGAGATGGAGTCTCGCTCTGTCACCCAGGCTGGAGTGCAGTGGCGCGATCTGGGCTCACTGCAAGCTCCGCCTCCCGGGTTCACACCATTCTCCTGCCTCAGCCTTCCGAGTAGCTGGGACTACAGGCACCCGCCACCACGCCCGGCTAATTTTTTTTTTTGTATTTTTAGTAGAGACGGGGTTTCACCGTGTTTGCCAGGATGGTCTCAATCTCCTGACCTCATGATCCGCCCGCCTTGGCCTCCCAAAGTGCTGGGATTACAGGCGTGAGTCACCGTGCCCGGCCAACTCATACTTTCATATATGTGTGTGTGTGTATAAATATGCTTGTGTTTGTTGATTTAATTCAGGAGACAATTCTGAGTAGTCAAAATAAAGTACAATAATTTAAATTACTAGAGCTGAAGACTATAGGATGTCAACTGTGAATATATCAAGCAACTCACAAGCTGCCATATTGATGTGACATGATGAAGTGGGAAGGAAAGCCATCTGGAGTTTCACTGGTGAATTGATACATCTTGCACTTACCATTGTGTATCCCCCGGACTTTGATCAAATGGACATGGGCCTTCTGATCTGCAGAGTGCCTGGAAATTCAGGTATTTAGTTATGCTTATTTTGCAGTTTCCCCATGTATAAACCCAAAATATAATGGAGTCATGTATATTTTTTAAATTTATTTTTTAAATTTTAAGTTTAAATTTACTTGGACAACTACTGATGAAGAACCTACTGTGTGCATGGCATTGGACTCAAAGATGATCTGAGTAAATTCAATAAGCAATAAATGACCATGCTAGTGTGACTGTCAGCTTGCTGCATACTAAGCATGTGGTACTCTACATTCCATTTGCTAAGAGTTTTTCTAAATGCTTATATTTGGCACATGGGTTCTTGAAAAATATCAAAAAATACACTTCAAACTGTATATCATCAGTCTATATTCAACCCATATTGATTAGGTCAGCAAGAAATTAAGTATATGGAAACCAATACAATCCTGTTTGTGTTTAGCATTTTCTCTGGAGAGCATCCATGATCCATCCATGAATTATATCCAAGTAAATGTTGTCAACACAAGGGTTAAGGTACATTAATAGTAATCTAGGGCCCCAAAAGACTTTCTACCCAGGAATACTATTCAGAGTAAAGTGGCAGCAATATATTAAATTACTCTAAGGCTTGACTTTGGGGGAGCGCAGTCAAACACCATTTGTCGCCCAAGTGTCTCTATTTGAATTACCTAATTCTCAGCAGGTGAAAATAAAAAGTCAAAACTATAGGCCAAGCAGGACCCTTGAAAGGCCAGTTTTCCACAGATTGCTTTATACCCTCATTTTCAAGGTTACTCAGCCCACAGTTAAAAGGCTCACCAAAGCTCACCAAAAGCCACAGTGTCCACCTACAAACATGGGACCATGGTTGTAGTTAGTGAAAACATCGTTGATTTGCTTGGAGTGTCCTCTCTTTGTATCTCCTCTGGGAACTCATAATAGTTGTGACCAAGGATTCAGAAATTGGAATCCTAGCCAATTGCACTGGCTTTGACTTAGAGACTCAGTTTCCTCTTTTTGCCATAACAAATTACCACATACTTAGTGGCTTACAACAGAATACATTTGTTATCTTACGGTTCTGGAGGTCAAACCTGAAATGGCTTTCACTAGGCTAAAATAAAAGTGTCAGCAGGTCTGGTTCCTTCTGGAGGCTCTAGGAGATAATCCATTTCCTTGCCCTTTTCAGTTTCTAAAGGCTGCTGGCATTCCTTGGTTTGTGGCCCCTTCCTCCATCTGCAAAGCATAACATCTTTCAATCCCCACTTTTTATAAGGATCCTTGTGGTACATCAGGCCCACTGCCAAGGTAATCCAGGATAATGTTCCCATCTCAAGAACCTTAACCACATCTGTGAAGTCCAATTTCTCAGGTAAAGCAACATATTCACAGGTTTCAGAGATTAAGATATGGTCATTTTGGGGGGCCTTTATTCTACCACAGAGACACAACAAAGAGGAAGACTCCTTGATTAGTGATCATCATCATCATCATCATCATCATCATCATGGAATCAAAGGAGATCATTTTGGAGCTTTAGGATTTGACTGCCCTGGCCATGTGCAGTGGCTCACACCTGTAATCCCAGTACTTTTGGAGGCCAAGGTGGGTGGATCACCTGAGGTCAGGAGTTTGAGACTAACCTGACCAACATGGAGAAACCCTGTCTCTACTAAAAAAAATTAGAACATTGGCTGGGCTTGGTGGTGCATGCCTGTAATCCCAGCTATTCGGGAGGCTGAGGCAGGAGAATCGCTTGAAGCCAGGAGGCAGAGGTTGTGGTGAGCCGAGATTGTGCCATTGCACTCCACCTGGGCAACAAGAGCAAAACTCCATCTCCAAAAAAAAAAAAAAAAAAAAAGTGACTGCCCCACTGGGTTTCAGACTTGCATGGGGCCTGTAGACCCTTTGTTTTGGCCAATTTCTTCCATTTGGAACGGGAGCATTTATCCAATGCCTATACCCCCATTGCATCTAGGAAGTAACTAACTTACTTTTGATTTTACAGTCTCCTAGGAGGAAGGAACTTGCATTATCTCAGGTGAGACCTTAGACTTGGACTTTTGGATTAATGCTGGAGTGATATAAGACTTTGGGGGACTGTTGGGAAGGTCTGATTCTGTTTTGAAATATGAGAACATGAGATTTGAGAGGGTCCAGGGGTGGAATGATATGGTTTGACTGTGACCCCACCCAAATCTCATCTCAAATTATAATCCTGATAATTCCTGCTTGTTGAGGAGGGACCTGGTAAATGATGGGATCATGGCGGCATTTTCCCCCATGCTGTTTGTCATGCGCGTCTGTGTGAAGAGACCACCAAACAGGCTTTGTGTGAGCAACATGGCTGTTTATTTCACCTGGGGGCAGGTGGGCTGAGTCCGAAAAAGGAATCAGCGAAGGGAGATAAGGGTGGGGCTGTTTTATAGGATTTGGGTAGGTAAAGGAAAATTACAGTCAAACGGGGTTGTCCTCTGGTGGGCAGGAGTGGAGGTCAAAAGGTGCTCAGTGGGGGAGCTTTTTGAGCCAAGATGAGCCAGGAAAAGGACTTTCACAAGGTAATGTCATCACTCAAGTCAAGGACCAGCCATTTTCACTTCTTTTGTGGTGGAATGTCATCAGTTAAGGCAGGGCAGGGCATTTGCACTTCCTTTGTGATTCTTCAGTTACTTCAGGCCATCTGGGCATATAAGTGCAAGTCACAGGGGATGCAATGGCTTGGCTTGGGCTCAGAGGCCTGACACTGTTCTCATGATAGTGAGTTCTCAGGAGATCTGATGGTTTTATAAATGGCAGTTTCCCCTAAGCTTTTCTCTCTCTTCTGCTGCCTTGTGAAGAGTTACTTGCTTCTCCTTCACCTTCCATCATGATTGTAAGTTTCCTGAGGCCTCCTCAGTCATGTGTAACTGTGAGTCAATTAAACCTCTTTCCTTTATAAATTAGTCAGTCTCAGCTACTTCTTTATAGCAGTGTGAGAATGGAGTAATAAACCATCCATGACAATATTCTTTGATTTTTACCTGGTTCACTAATTTTAACTTAGTTATAATTTTAAATAATTATAAGTAAAGATCCTTCCTGATTTCCAGGGGATAAACTGGGGCACAGAATGGTTATTCGGTCCAGAAAGAGGAAGAAAAATAACCCAGGGGGATGCCAGTCTGAGGCAGCCACTTCCAGAGACTGTGGGCCAGCTCTGAGAAATGTCCAGATTAGATAGACTATATCTGGAAAGATAATCTTGTCCCATGACTGCAACAGACCACTTGAATTTACCTGCCAGGTTTATTCAGAATTTATGCCTAGAAATCCCCAGAATACACTAGAAAATCCCAAACTGTCCTGAGACTGAGCACCTAAAGTTGCTGGGTCAAGAAAGTATTTTTTTAAATGAAAGAGACTTGAGCATATCTCTGTATTAAGGGGTAGAGGCAGAAGAGGGAAAGCAATTAAAGATAGAGGAGAAACAATAGTCACAAACTAGAAACAACTAGACCATCATGAAAATGCTTAAACAAAAACTGGTGCATCCATACAATGGAATACAACTCAGTAATGAAAAGGCACAATCAACTGCCACTACCCACAAAATGGATGACTTGTAAAATCATTATGCTGTGTAAAAAAGCCAGACATAAAAGAGTACGTACTACATAAGTACACTTACATGAAATTCTAGAAAATGTGAACTAACTTATAGTGACAGAAAGGAGATCAGTGGTTACCTAAGGTTAGAAGCAGAGAGAAAGGAATGAACAGCAAAGAGGCACAAGGAAACTTTTGGAGGTGATGGAAATATTGTATCTTGATCATGGCAGTGGTTTCACGGATGTCAAAACTCAGCAAATTGTATACTTTAAATGGATACCATTTACTGTACATAAATTATACTACAATAAAACTGATTTACAAAAAGAGGGAAGCTTCTTGGGGGCCCAAGGACTGGATGAGGAACCCCTTTTTCACTGGGAAAGAAGGAAAGTACAATCACCTGATGGGTTCTTCTGGCCTACTGCACAGATAAAACCAATTCACTGAGAGCGTGGTATTGCAGTAGAGAAAGACTTTAATAATCACAGGGCCAGCTAAGTGGAAGAACAAGAGTTTAGTACTCAAATTAGCTTCCCCAAAAGCTTGGAAGGTAGGGTTTTTCAAGGATAGTTTGGCAGGCAGGGGGCTAAGGATTGGGCATGCAGATTGGTTAGGAAAGAGATTGTAGGGGTGTGGAAAACAATCCTTATCTGCTGACTCAGCCTCTGGGTGGGGGCCACAGGACTGATTGAGTCATGAGTCATGGGTTGGGGTAGAGTCAGTTGGTTGTCAGAATACAAAAATCTGAAAACCATCTCAAAAGACCAATCTTAGATTCTACAACAGTGATGTTGTCTACAGGAGCAATTGGGGAAGTCACAAATCTTGTAATTTCTGCCACATGACTCCTGAGTAGTAAGGGATTACAGAAAAGCAAGCTAGGAGGCTGGGCATGGTGGCTTGCATCTGTAATTCCAACACTTTGGGAGGCTGAGGTGTGAGAATCTCTTGAGCTCAGCAGTTCAAGGCCAGCCTGAGCAATATAGTGAGACCCTGTCTCTTTAAAAAATAAAAATAAAATAGCAAGTTAGGGAACAATGGCTGGTTATCGTTTATACCTATATCTCAGCAGAATTCAGGCCTCTCCCATAATCCTAATCTTGTGGCCCTGTATTAGTTTTACAAAAGTAGTTTTAGTCCCTGAACAAGGAGGGGGTCTGGGAGGGACTATTATCATCCTTGCTTCAAAGTTAAACTGTAAACTAAATTCCTCCCATGGTTAGCTTGGCCTATGCCCAGGAATGAGCAAGAATAGCCAGACTGTGAGGCTAGAAGCAAGATGGAGTCAGCCATGCTAGACTCATCTCACTGTCATGATGTTTGCAAAGGCGGTTTCAGAAGGAGGCCAAAGCAGAAATGGTCACAGATCCATTCATAGACGAGAAGAGGCTTCAGAGAGAAGACAGTGGTTAGCCACGATACTCTTAATGTTTTCTTAGGATGTAATGGCCCAA